CCCCATCGCCCTGATTGCTGGCGGACCGTTATTTCTTCAGCAATATTGCATCGTTCTATTTAGTAACCCTCTGAGTAGAAACCGCATCTCACAGTTTTAACAATACACAGTGCTGGAAATTGGGCACTTTTTTCTACCTGAGCCTAGAGGTCTATCTTTGGGTTCTGAGTATTTCCAGCTTTTGAACTCTAAACAAAATATGCTTTTAAAAACAGATTATTAAAAAAAAAAAAAAAAGCATATCCAATCAGCTCTATTCAAAATAATTTTCTACTCAGGCCTTCCGATGCTAAGTATACTGAATTCCACATTAGTTGAGAAGTGACAGTTTGGTGCCATCTTATGGTCATACAGAAAATATTGTAATGCCTTGACCATTTGCTGTTTTTCATGAAGTCCTCATCTTAGAAGCATAGTATAAAAGAACTTATGTGAATCTTAGAAAATATTATCCTTGGAGTGATATATAGCAGCCCTCCCTGCCAAGTGAGTGGTTATGGAAAATATAGGCTTGATAGGAAAGATATGATAAACCTTACATTTAAGCATTATTAGATCAGTTTTATGAAGTTAAAAATAAGTATGTTTTTATGTTTTATTCTGTTACCCATATCATTGCAAGATAGAATTTGCATTAGAATTTATAAGTGTCTACATGGAGCAGATCTGGTGGCTCATGAATTAGCTAGAGGTGTTACAAGTTAGGGAAACAATTTATTTTCTCACTTGAGGCCCGGTGCACAGATTAGTGCACCAGTGGGGTCCCGTGGCCTGGCCAAAACCAACTCCCTGACATCACCCAAGGGGTCCAGGATTATGAGAGGGCACCGGCAAGGTCAAGGGACCCCACCGGTGCACAATTGGGGCGAGGGAGGGATGCAGGAGGGCTCCACAGTGTGTTCGGTCCATCTCGCCCAGTCCTGATTGGCCAGACCCCAGCAGTAAGCTAATCTACCGGTCAGAGTATCTGTCCCCTGGTGGTCAGTGCATGTCATAGCAACTGGTTGAATGGTTGAATGAATGATTGGACACAACATATTAGGCTTTTATTATATAGGATTACCTCCCTAACTCATCCCCATGGGGCTATTGAATTTAGTTTTGATTTGACAAAGTATAGGATGCAGGCCAACTCTGCTGTTAGATTGTAAAATTTTCTTGAAACAGCTATACATTTATTTATCTACTAAAGGCTCAGTGCACGAAATTCGTGTATAGGTAGGATCCTTAGGCCTGGCTGATGACCAGGGCTGATCTGTGGGATGACCAGCAGGCAATTGGGAGGTCCCCGCTGACACCCAACTTGGCTGGCCTGGGACCTGTGGGCTGGGGACAGCTCCTGTGTTGAGTGCCTACACCCTGGTGGTCAGTGCACATCATACTGGTCAGTGTGCATCATAGTGGTCAGTGTAGTTCTGCCATTTGGTTGAATTGCATGTTAGGTTTTTATTATATAGGACTAGAGATCCAGTGCACGAATTTGTGCACTTGGCAGGGGGTGGGGGGGTTCGCTCAGCCCAACCTGTATCCTCTTGCAGTCTAGGAGCCCTCAGGGGATGTCCAGCTGATGGGGAGAGGGTCTAAGCCATCAGTTGGACATCTTTAGTGTTGCCACGGAGGCGAGAGAGGCTCCTGTCACTGTTGCGTGCTTGTTAGCTGTGAACCTGGCTTCTGGAGCACTGACCACCAAGGGGCAGCTCCTGCATTGAGCATCTATTTCCTTGTGGTCAGTGCGTGTCATAGTGACTAGTCATTCTGCTGTTTGGTCGATTTGCATATTAGCCTTTTATTATATACCGTGTTTCCCGGAAAATAAGACATCCTCCGAAAATAAGATCTAGCGCATGGAAAAATATGACATTCCCTAAAAATAAGATCTAGCACATCTTTGGGGGAAAAATTAATATAAGACACTGTCTTATTTTCGGGGAAACAGGGTAGGACTGTTTACACTGTTTGCATGTTATAACAGTTGAGGTGTTGCAACAGAGACCATATGGACCCACTGCACCTAAAACAATTTACTTTCTGGCTCTTTACAGAAAAGGTTGCCTACTCATGAATTTAAAAAGAGGAAAATAGACCTATGCATTACATTCCAATAGACCAGAAAGGAGGTGGCATCAACACACATTTACACATAAATACATAGAGAAACACACATACATAAATAGTGAAAGGTTTAGTCTTTTTAACCAGCCATCTAAATGTTATCAAGACTTATACATTGCAACATATTCATGTGAAATTCTTCTCTCCCTAAAAACTGAATCTAGTGAAACTAGCTAGAAATACTTTTCTACTTATATATAGTCTCATCTGTTTCCCATTTTAACAGACTGGTATATCATGCTTCTAGTGCACTCAGGCTTCTCAATTTTATTTTATTTATTTACTAGAGGCCTGATGCACAAATATTCGTGCAAGAATAGGCCTTCCTTTCCCTGGTTGCTGGCACCACTTTCGATCTGGCTTGAGTTGCCATTTTGCTTGGGCCTGAAGCCGCCTTTCCACCTTCAAATGCTGCCCAGAGCAGCTGGGGTGGGGCGGGACACAAGCCTCAGCACCTGCATATGCAAATCAAGCCACCATCTTTGTTGGGTTAATTTGCATAATCACTCCTGATTGGCTGGTGGGCATCACAAAGGTACAGCCAATTTGCATCTTATTCTTTTATTAGTGTGGGTTTTTAAAATATATTTTATTAATTTTTTACAGAGATGAAGGGAGAGGGATAGAGAGCTAGAAACCAATAAGAAAAATATCGATGAGCTGCCTCCTGCACACCTCCTGTTGGGGATGTGCCTGCAAGCAAGGTATATGCCCTTGACTGGAATCAAACCTGGGACCCTTCATTCTGCAGGCCAGTGCTCTATCCATTGAGCCAAATCAGACAGAGCTTGCTTTTTATTTATTTATTTTGTTCATCTGAGGATATTTTTCTACTGATTTTTTAGAAAAAGTGGAAGGGAGGGGAGAGACAAAGAGAAACATTGATGTAAGAGAAACAAATTGATTGGCTTCCTCCTGTACACATCCCTGACGTTGGCTGAGGATCAAGCCTGCAACCCAAGTATGCATCCTTGACTAGAATTGAACCCAGGACCCTTTTTTGCAGGCCACTGCTATATCCACTAAGCCAGCCTGGCTAGGGTGCCACTCAATTTTAAAATCTCTTTCTTTTGCATATGGTTCTCCTCTTAGAAGTTTTATAGCTAGATGGGCTTGAATTTTAACATTATTCATAACTGGAAAGAAATGCCATAGCTACTTGTCCTATATGGCTAATACAGTTGTTGCAGAAAGTGGGAGGCATCTTATTAATATATCTGTCCAATATATATCCCACAACACCTTGCGAAAAGCACTAAGGACACGAGTAGGTACTAGTGAGAGTGTGTCTTTTTCGCCTGTCTGGTCTTGAGGGTGACTACATTCCAGGTGCTACCCTGGGTTCATGTTGTGCCAGCCAAACAGCATGTGCTAGAGGGGGGCACCCAGAGAACTCTGGAAACCTACGGGGGAAAGCTGGGTTTGGCTTCCTTAGGATTATCCTGTAGGGCCAGGAAATAATCCTGGCAGTTGCAGGAAGAGGACATTTCCAAGAAGTGATAAGATCTGCTCTTTAGTTTTTTCCTATCTTTAAATACATCCAGTGATCTTTCAAATTGGGTTCTAAAGCACTGCAGAAAACGCCTTGATAAGACAAAAGGGCATGAAGGGCACAAGTCTTCCTTACATAGGCACAATTCCTTTGGTCTCTTTTTTTTTCATTCTTCTCTGAGGTTGAGCTTGGCAGCCTATTCACATTCTCTTGGCACCTCTGCACTCGGCAGTATGGCTTCAGCCTAACAGTTCTGCTGAAACTGCTCAACATTCTCATGTTCCGGTCCTCATCTCAGCCAGAGTTGATAGTGTTGACCTCCTTTGCATCTGCAAAATTCTATTAGCTCTGCAACCTCTGGTGCCTTGATTTTTCAACTCAGCACTCTCACTTTCCCCAGATCCCTTGCTTTGCTCTTGGTTTTCACGGATGGATGTAAAAATCATTTATTGCATGTTTTTAGTACCAGGCACTGTGCTATGTAACTTAAAGATACATGTCATTTTATCTGTAGGTCATTGTTTGAACTATTCTGATCCCATTTTACAGATAGGGTAACAGGCATAATCATGGATTCATTTGTGTAAACAGGAGAAAAAGGCAATTGTAGCATCTTTCTAGCTACAGAGGTCTTTATTTTCTAAAATTGTAATTAATTTTGAATTCTTTTACTCTTGGTCAATTATCATGAAAGACCTTTAAAATTTATGTTTACACTAGAGGTCCAGTGCACGAAATGCATGCACCGGTAGGGTCCCTAGCAGCTGCCAGCTGGGGCCTCCCTTCCCCAGCTGCCAGCTGCTGGCTGGGACCTTTTTTGTTCTGCACCTCCCCCTGGTGGTTAGTGCACGGCATAGAGAGCAGTCGAACTCCTGGTTGGTCGAATTTCCAAGTAGTGGGGAGAGAGATTGATTGAGATTACAAACTTCCTTACTAAGGACCCCTATGCACTCTTCCTAAAATAGCAATAATAGATTCTGTTATTGCTGCATAATTTCTTCTTAGTGTTTCCTCCTTCTCTAGACCAAGATGCTTGTTTTTTATTTTGTTGGGGCTGTTTGGATTTCAACCTCTGCTGTAAAACCTGGAGTATATCTAAAGCACTCAACAAATCAACCCTGCCATAGTCTCATTTACTAAGTACTTAGAGGTATATAGTTTTGTGTTTGGCTTCCACTATACAACCTATTCAATAGGGGGGGAGAGAGAAGGGTGTTAAAGCAGAGGTTCAGTCGCTAGGACACCATCATTAACATGGCTTCAACGAATGCATCTGAACATGAGAAGTACAGATACACTTCCAAATATATGTAAGGAATACAGAAGTTTCTTAACACATTGAGCACCTTGACAGTCACTATACTTTCCGTCCGGAAGACAAAACAGGCTTAATGTGTTAAATCACGTTGTATTTATTAAAAGCTGAATACAAAATACCTTGGAATTCAGAGATTATCTATTATAATGTTTATCCCCTAACAGGTTAGTTCTAAAGAAAAAAGTTAATCATTTCAAGGCAGATAACGGAAAAATTTTAAGTAAGAATAATACATCTGTTGGCAGATTGAATTTATTCAAACTTTGACGCCTAAGTATGTTCCTCCAGATTTTCAACCATTAATAGCCCAAACCGATTGCTACTCTCATACCACCATCTGATGTCTGAGAGGGTTTCTCCTCTGTTCTTTGCCCAGCTGGCACCTTGTTTCTTTTTCTTTTTCTTTTTAGAATTTGATTTACCCTTTGGAAGGAATAACTCAGCAGGGGCATATGACCTTGTGGCATTGAATAGGTGTTCATAAAGTTGCCTTGCCCCAAAACACATGCTCAGAAGACTTTCTACAGTGGTTGATGTTAGCAGGTGTTGGCATAGTCCATGCACCAGGCTTCCGCTATACAGCCTATTCAACAGGGGAGAGAGGAAAGGTGTTAAAGCAGAGGTTCAGTCGCTGGGACACCACCATTATGTCATTTTATCTTTTATGTCATTATGGCTTCAACGAATGCATCTGAAAACACTGAGAGCTCTTCTACAAAATCATTATTAAAATTACTTAAGAATAATCTGTTCCTTGAAGGAAGAAACTGAGTTGTTATTAAAAAGATTACTTCTTGGCTCATGATACTTTTAACGTTACGTTCAATGATGGATGTTTGCTGGTTCTATAAGACCAAAGTTGAGCAGGCCTCTTAACACTTCAAAGAAAAGGAATTAAAAATGCCTCTGATAAACCAAACAGGTAGTCTGTTGAAATAAGAGGAAATTTAATGGCATCATTTGCAAGGTCATTATTCACCTTGGACTAAAAACCTACTTCATAAATATAAGATGGGATTAACTGGGAGCCACAATTTTAATATGTAGAACCATCACTGAATCAGTGTAAAAACCATCATTTAAAAAACCTTAGTGCTGAGATGCAAGAACAGCCCTCTACTGAAATCACAAAGAGAACTGTTTGGTCTTGTTTATCCTGTTTTGTTTTTTTTTTTATTATAAATGGATTTCTGGCAACAAGAGAGGATCCAGTCAAAAATGACCTAAATTATTAAAGGCCAGAAGTAAAGTATCCATAGGTCTAAGGTCATTAATCTTACTTGGGTTCCAGGGTTAGCTCACACATGAGGCCCAGAAATATATTAACAACACTTTTCACTGCTCAGGAAACTTTTCACCATGAAACATTTAAAGCCACATCAGCATATTTTGCATGCCTCTATTTATCACTCTATAGTCAATAACCATTTATACAATTACAATATGCTAGGTATGGGGACAACAACAGTACGTAAAATAGACAAGTCCCTTCCCTCCTAGAGTTTACATTCAAGTGGAGATAAAGTTTATATATAATCTCAATTCCATTTTCTAACCATCTCCCTTTTATTTTATTCGATCCTAGTAAGTACCTCCTGATGGACAACCACCAGGATGTCTAACCCACTGATCCTACCACTTTTTCACTGGCCCACACACTGCTTTCATTTCTTTCTTACTCATTTCCATAGTCAGACATTATACTCACTTCCTGGTATACAGGCTGCCTCTCGGGCAAAGAAAAGCCCGAGATAAAGTCCATTTAAGCATCTAATAATCATCTCACTAGAATAAAACCTCCAAGACAACAGAGGGTTGTTTTTTTTTTTTAAATGTTTTGTTCATTATAATAAAGACCAAAGTAGGCATTTAATGAATATTTGAATGAACGAATGAACAATACGTGGTAAGAAATGCAATTATGAAATACAAGAGTAATAGGACTAGAGTGACTTGAAGTAGACAGTAGTAATATTTCATTGGATGGTCAGAAAAAGTTTTTATAACGTGACATCTGAACAAACTTAAAAGGAATGAGGGAACAAATTACATCCAACAACTGCCTCTTTTTATTACTTTGGATCTAATTTTCTTTGAGAATATAGAAATAATTTAATATTTTTCTTGTTTCCAGCTCTTTAGCTATTATAGTGTTCCAAGACCAATTATCCTAAGATTAATTTTTAAACATAACCTCTTTGCTTTAAATGTAAATAAAGGTATTTGCTTCTGTGTGCAGTCATCTGAACTAGTTTCCCTTGGTGCTCACCGAGTTAGGTCTGGCTCTGGGAGAGGCGTGGACAGCAGCTGATTCAGATACATCCCCATCAGCAGACAGCTCTGCCACTGACAGAAGACGTGAGCTGTGTCTAAATCCAGTCTCGGGCTTGGCTGCATCTGCTCCTTCACTCTTTGGAACTCTTCGTACAACATCTTAGCACCATCCTTCCGCAGATCTTTACCTAGACAAGGAAACAACCCAAGGGTAGTAGTTCCTAAAATACTGTGTCAGTTTGTAAGTTTCTCCATATATATATATAAAACTTCAAATTCCATAAAGAAAAAATTGGTTTAAATAACCAAAGTGCTTTTCTTTTCTGGCTCTTTACTATTTTAACGTCAATATAAAAGCCTTGCTGTATAAACAAATATTATTCTGAAATGCCTTTTTAATGACAATCTAACTTCACTCAACGCCAAATTATTTTTTTCCTTAAAATAATCACTTCCACCAGTCTTCCACTTGACCTTAAATATATCTGCATCAAACTCTCCAGACCCTAAAGTTATCTCCGAAAAACATAAATTACTATTAAATGTCATTCTCTTTACTGTTATCTTCTACCAAACTTCCTTTCATGGAAACCTCCAGGCTATAGTGCACTTAAAGAAACAGTCCATGTGTTCAAAGCACATTTTAACTTCTGTTTAATGGGAGGAAAACAAAGTAAGACTCATGGAGAATGTGGCAGATCACTTCTTCACGCACCGAGGACAAGGGCAAGAAACGGCTGCCCTGGGAAAGAATAACTCTGTATGTATTCCTCACAGAAGCCACGCCCTTCCGCAGTTTTGTTTGAGCAGGGGCAAACAACATGACATGCGGACCGACTTGAAGGTAACAGAAAAGAGGCCCACCTTTTACCAACTAGCGAGCAGCAAGGCACTGAGCCTGCCTGGGTGCCAGGTCCACAATTCCTAAAAGAAAAGAAACAGACCCTTGACATGCCCCTTCCGTTGGACTCAGGAAAAAATTTAATAGGCTCGTGCTCTGGAAATTTTCATAAATTATTCAATGAGATGAAATGCCCTAAACTTGTGTCTTAACCATTGGTGGGCCTTACTTGTTCTGATTTAAATAAAACAACAGTCCCTTTCTGGCAGCTTCTCTCACTTTTGGACTTCCTTGGAGTCTATGCTGGTTCATTATTTCATTTAACTTACTTTAAAAAGTACATTTCAGAGGAGCATTAGCCAGTAGAGCTTTGTGCCATGATGGAAAGGCTCTATATCTTCGCGGTCCTCTAGTGATATGTGGCTGCTGAGCACCTGAAATGTGGCTAGTGGCTATGCTATTAGATGGATGACAGCATTAGGCCTCATCTTCTCCATGATGCCATTACTGTTCTAGAGGGTGTTAACGATTATACATGTTTACAGGAAGTTTTACAGCATTCATAATCTTTAGAGAGGATAATTCCATTCAAGAACTGAACTGTTCCAATGCATCAACATTGATTTCACCTGACATTGAAACACAGATAAAATTGCCTCAAAGTATATTTCTCCAATAGAGAAGTTACTACTTTTACCATCACTGCTTACAAACTAATGGAAACTTGCAGTGGAGAAAAGAGAAAAAAAAAAAACACAAAAAAAAAAACACAGCACAGGCATGAATGTTTACTTTCACCAATGGGCAATTTTAAATAAGTTTGTAGTGCTGATGTTGCTGTAGCACTGCTGATAGGGGCAGGAAAGAATAGAAAAGGTGGAATATAAAATGCAACTGTCACGCTTCATAGGTTACAGGATTAGGTGGTAACAATACATCTTCACTGCTGTGAAGTCAAGCCCTTCAGCACTAAGCCTGACGCATGGAAGTGCTCAAAAGCATTTATCAATGAATTGGCAATGTATTGGCACCTCCATTTCTAAGTTCTAATACAACTGATAGGAATAGATAATACATGATTAAAAAAAAAAACCACAAGATTTTCTGTTATATGTAAGTAACATGGAAAAATAGACTTAAGGAATTTCCAGATACCTACCAGGGCTGTCGATTATGGCATGCAGGGGCCCCTGCAGCATCCCCAGCAGCAAGGCTTGTAGATGATGTAGTTTTGCCTTGACCTCCGAGTGCTGCAACCAGTAGCAACTGACAGCAATGGGCAACTTCAAAGAAGGAGGGATTGGGTCCAGGACGGTCTGTTTCACCTTTAATGTTTCTAAGAGAAGTGCCTGCCGTCTAGCTGAGGAGAGCTGAAAAATATATATCAAGCACCTTGCAAGTTACTTGGGAGAATGTCTTTTCCCCCCTTAGTATGAAGAGATTTTAATGCAAATGAAATTGCTGTGTTAGTTTCTCATCTTCCTGTGTAAAAAAAATCAGCCAGTCACATTCAAAGCATTTAGAACATTAATAAGGTGCTTAATAAATATGGTTGAATGAATGAAAGTACTGTCTACTCCCACGACACAGCCCTTGCTCATGACATTCCATCCTCCAAGTGGTCTGATTGAGCATCTTCAGTGCACATGTTACTTGGGAAGATTCTTAAAAAACAAATCCTCACACCCAACCCCTAAATTTTGACTCAGTAATCTGAGGGAGCCCAGGAATCTTCATCTTAATTATTCAGCTTTGAGAAACAATGATCTATACTTAACCAATCCCTTTCCTGGCAGTGAATATTTAGGCTCCACCTTCTGCATGACACCATTACCGATCACCTCCGGAAGAAACTTTGATTATGTGCACCCTTGTGGCATATAATAATAGTTTTCTATTTGTTTGGGTCTTCTCTCATATCCCTGCCCAGATGAAGGTGCTTGTCTTCTACACAGAGACTGTCCTAGGGGGGCTACTTGCAGGTAAGAGGTATATTCAAGGGAAATAGGAATAAGACACCACCCTCACTTTTCCTCAATGTTTTAGAGTGTGCACTTCAAATAAAAGAAAGTGAACAGCTATGAGGGCTTCTGGCTACTTGTTGAAATAATTTTAACGAATCTTAAGCTTCCACAGATGAGGAAATTAGTACTATTAAGAGGACACCTTCAGGGAGACTTTACAATCAAACTTTAAGAGAAAAACACAGTTGTATACCTAGTGTCTGCATGCAGCTAGAAAAGTATTTCTTTATTAACTTTCTGAAAGCATGGGAAGGTCTGACACATTTCTCAGCACCAAAGACCTAATTAGTAATCAATAAATGTGTTGACAGCTGAGAATAAGAGTTAAACTGAAATAAAACACTTCATAATTGACAAAATAGTTTCATCATCAATACATGACAGCATTACATCAATGATTTATAAGTACTAGTTTTAATAATTTAATACTGTGATTAAAAATTTTTAATTAGAAATAGGTAAAGTGCTTTACAGTATAATCACCCCTCCCCTCCCCCATGGGAAGTAGCATTAACTACTTAAATTACAAGTGAAACAAAAACTATCCTTTATAATCTTTTAAACTGGTAGAAAAACACACCAACTAAAGGCTAAGAAAATACATGAATTATTTACTGACTTAAAATGCTTACATTACTGAATTCTCTAGCCAAGTTATAACTTGTGATCAATGCAGAGTCTGAGCTTGACTTCAAAGATGTGCTGTCCCTCGCTAACTCTATGGCCTTGGGCAAGTTTCTGAGCTTTTCTATAGTCAGTCTGATCCACTGTAAAATGGGCATTACAGTGAGTGACACAAAATGTCCCATGGAACCCACCAGTCCTTAGCCCCTTCCAAAAGGGAAACAACTCTGCGCACAGCCCTTAATTCTGGTTGGGTTTTATCCAGTGTGACAACTCCCATGAGGATGGACAGCGCAAGCCTGCAGAAGTAGCTGCCACACAGGCAGGGATGCCCAGAGAGGCTGGTCGTGACACTGCCTTACTCCCCAAGAATGACCCTCTTCCATTTCTCCTTACGATTATCCACTTGTTGGTTAGCTGGAGTGGTGCTCTGTCCACTGCAATTAACATTTCCCAAATGTACTTACTGTGGGAATTAAATGAGACTATAAACTTTCTATTACAACAGTTGGCACAAAGCAGATAAAGTATCATTACCACATCATGTTAAGAAAAACAGATTCTACCACAAAGTTCCTATATTCGTACCTGCATTTGTCTCTGGAATCACATTTGCACTTGACACTGTTTAGAATTATTGTGGGCTAATGAGAGCTAGCATTGAGCTGAATACAGAATTGATTGATTAGCTTATGCCAAGGGGAAGCCAAATGTTATCACTGCATAGAGAGGGAACTAAAATTTCACCTGACTTTGCATACAGTTAAGTGATGAGAACACTTGTCATCTCCACTTTGCAAGGCATATAATCAGCCTCCAACACTCACTGACTCAACTGGATTTTCCTATGTGGGAAAAAATGTCCTGATCCCAATATCACACTATATGGAAACAAATCAATTCTAGGTAGATTGTTGATCTAAATATGAAAGGCAAAGAAAATATTTTCATGATCTTAACTCAGAAAAGTAATAACCATAGATTATAAATATTTAAATTTGTCTATATTAACAAGTTCTGTTCATCAAAACATACTAAAGTTAAAAGACAACCCACAGAATGGGAAAGGCTATTCACAATACATGCTATTTAACAACACACACACATATATATCAGGAAAATGCCCTAGTCTTTGAACATAAACTTATATAATAGAATGTCCAAATGACCAATGAACACATGAAAAGGTGCTCAAATAAGTCATCAGAAAAATGCAAATTAACACCCCTAAAATTGGCTAAAATGATGCCACTACACAACAACCAAAAGAGCTAAAAGAATAAAAAAATACCAGCTATCAGCAAGGGTGTAAAGGGAGATGAACTCTTAACAAGACCACTTGACATATATCTTCCAAGCTGAACATATGTGTATGCTATAACTCAACAATTCCACTCCTAGTTATGCAATAGAAATGTGTTCATATTTTCACTAAAAGATGTGCACTGAGATGTTCATAACACTATTCATAATAGCCCAAAATGCAAACTACCCAAATGTCCATCAGCTATAAAGTGGGAAAACTATTTTGGTATATTCCCAGGTTGTAAAAATATACAGCAATGAGAAATGAATTTTCTGCAACTACACACAAAGATAGGAATAAATCTCACAAACACCACATTGAATGTAAGAAGCCAGGTGAAAGAATTCATACTGTATGATTTCATTTTTATGAATTATAAAAGCAGTCAAAACTCTTAAATGTTAAGAGGTCAGGATAGTGATTACAGAGGGCATGAAGGAGGGTGACCAGAACCAGACACGAGGGAAAGCTTCTGGGGTGCTGATAGTCTTCCTCTGGGTGTTCTTTACATGGAAGTGTGCTGTTGGTTTGAAAATTGCTGTATCACTTTCTGAGCACTCTACCATATGTACAAACTCAAGAAGGAATTAATTGCAAAGAGGCAAGAGGAGTGATGGATATATTCCTTATTTTAATTGCAGGATGGATTCACAGATATAAACATACATCAAAACTCATAAAAGTACACACTTAAACTACAGGCACTTCATTACACATCAATTATTTCTCAACAAAGCCATAAATTAAACAAAAAAAAAAACAGAAAAACACCACCATAGTACCATTTTTGTTATGAGTAGAGATGTAATTTCAACAAAATATCCTTCAGAATGTTGGTAATTTCAATTTTATTGGTGTGAGTAAAATGTTAATAAATCCTTTCTGCTTGGCATTTGACCCATGGTCAAGTTTCTAGTTTTGTAACCCTGGAAATGTGGCGAAATAGCTGTGTTACTTAGCATGATAAAAATGACTTGTAAAGCTGCATCTAGTCTTAAAGTATGAATAAACTCTAACCACCAGATGGTGGGACACCATATCATGGGACTTCCCTGAGTACAGTGACTTGTAATTAACCTTGTATTTTGCAGGGCCCTCCAAAGGGATGTCTACGGAATTGTTACAAGAAAGGATGGATCCTGTGGGAAAGAAGGTCAATGAGACCTTTTCTTTCTTTAATTGAGATAATTAATGTCATAAAATTTACCCTTTTGAAGTGGCTTTTGATACTGTTTAGAATTACTGTGGGTTAATGAGAGCTAGCATTGAGCTGAATACAGAATTGATTAGCTTATGCCAAGGGGAAGCCAAATGATATCACTGCATAGAGAGGGAACTAAAATTTCAACTTGTGCAACTTGTGCAACAATCACTAATTCTAGAACATTCCATCTACCAAAAAAGAAACCCTGTGTTCCCACTGGCAGTCATTCACCATGACCAAAGAGGCTCTCGTACCTACCTGATGAGAATCTTGTTTCCTCCTGCCTGAGCTGTCATTAACAGGAGGCTGTGTAAGGCAGGGATTGGCATTATGGGCAAGATAATTCTTTGCTGTAGGGGACTGCCCTGTGTATTATAAGAAATCTGATGATGCCACTACACAATAACCAAAATAGCTAAAAGGATAGAAAAATACCAGCTATCAGCAAGGGTGTAAAGGGAGAAGAACTCTTTACAAGACCACTTGACATATCTCTTAGCACCATTTTTGTTATGAGTAGAGATCTAATTTCAACAAAATATCCTTCAGAATGTTGCTTTCAATTTTATGGGAGTGGATAAAATGTTTTTAAAAAAATCCTTTCTGTCTGGCATTTGACCTATGGTCAAGTTTCTAGTTTTGTAACCCTGGAAATGTGGCGAAGTAGCTGTGTTACTTAGCATGATAAAAATGACTTGCAAAACTGCAAGTCATCCTGGGGGTCCCTGAGTATAGTAACTTGTAATTAATCTTGTATTTTATAAGTTGTAAGTAACCTTGTATTATCAATGTCTTCAGGCACACTTTCTTTTGTAGCTCAGATTTTTCCCCCTATTATTATTATTATTATTATTATTATTATTATTATTATTATTTTGCCACATAACCCCATTGTATGGATAGCTAAGTAACAGCAAAGTAGTACTGATACTTTCAGAGATAACACAGACCACGGAAGTACAGGGAAATGGTATATTTGGCACCAAAGATCTAGGTGTGAGTCCTGGCACTGACACTCCCTGGCTGAGGTCTCACATAGTTACCACGGTGAGCTCCGCTTTCTCAGCTAAGAAATGGGTGCAATATGGCAACTGACCTCAGTTTGTTACATTCATTACAAGAGATAATCTGCAGGAAAGCACCCTGAAACCTATAAAATGCTTTACAAAAATTACATTAGTATTACACTCACCTCAGTCAATTTGCTTAAGTCAGAATGATCCTTGGGCAGGTTTACGGCATCAACAATCGATATTTTGATGTTTTTCCTAATCCTTTCCACTTCACTGAAAGCCAAAGGCCGAGGAGGCGACGCATTCAAGGGTGCACCCCGCAGAGGTGCGGAGCCATTCGAAAGCAGCCCATACATGACTTGCCGGATGGGCAGAGATACTCTGTGGGCATTTGGCTGCTGCATGTTTTCCACTTGTGTGTGAAGAAAGGTCCGTCTTAGCACCAAGGCATCGCTGACAAAAGGAGCCAGCTGACCTCTGGCCAAAGCCACGAGGACCCATTCTGGCACACCCAGACCCAAGGCCTCCGGACAGTCGTACGTACCACGCAGGAAGAAGTCCTGCAGCTTCACCTGGGACGGCTGGTATTCTTCCATGGAACAACAGAGAAGCTCCCGGACATTTTCTCGATCCTTTTTCGGGAGATATTTCAGGACATTATCTAGTGCTTCGGTGGGGCCAGCAAAACGAGACAGCCAGCTCAGAAGGCCCACAATTCGGTAGTGTCTCCTCCCCTTGGCATTGGCAGCTCCAGGAGGAAGGCGCACCTGACTTAATACCGTGTCCACGATGGGCAGATGAACGTGGTCGTTCCCACACAGCACCGCAAAGAGAGGGAGTAGATCTTTGTTCATGTTGCTGAAGTAGTGGCAGAGTGCATCAAGAGAAAAGCATTTGGCGGGGATATAACAGCCCTGCGTGCCCTTACTAGTGTTCACGTTTCCCCACTGAAAGCTATTCAATGGACAAAACCCAACTTTCAGGTCAAAAATGCAAAAGTCGCTATCTGATGACAACACAGGGCAATTCCAATGATTAGCCAGCGTCATAATGTCCCGATCTGCTTCTGAAAAGCACTGGACAAAAGGTACCCGCAGCCTGATCAAAACTTGTATGAACACTTCCCGAGTGAGAAGGGGACAGACACACCCACTCCCACCAACAGAAAGGGAATGGGCCGCCTGGATCTTCTCTCTAGCTCGATCCTTCAGCGTTGTAAGCTTTTTATCTGAAATGTCACATCCTCCATCTAATACAACGTACGGGCATATATTACAAGAAAACAGTGATTCGAAGAAGTTTTGTGCAACATCTGCAAAAGCATCATAGTCCCCTCCGTACCGGAGCTCCAAGTGTGAGTTGAAGCAAAGCCGGTGGAAGAGGGCATAGCCATCAATGATAATTCTGGTGTCTCGCAACTTCACGTCAGTGAAGAACTCATTACTGTGATCTTCCACAAAACTCATTAGTCCTCGAATGCCCATGATGTCTGAAGAATTTCCTGTTTAAGACAACAGAACACACTTTCAATTCATGTTGGTTACAAATTGGTTACAGGGGAACATGCCATTGTTTCCAGCACCAGCAACTCAACAACAAATGATATAAAACTCTCTAAATCCAACATATTAGGTGTGGGCTTCTCACTTCTTATCTATCAATAGTTGAGACCAACTAGCTGAGTGCTTTTTCATGCTTTTATTTTGCTTTTCCCTCGTGTTACAAGACATAGAGTCCATAGTTTTGTGTTTGATCTTTGGATACAAATGCTGATGATTCTAAGGAAAAAATCGAAGTCCACTACTGCCACACTATATAGAACTGTGGAATTTGATATTGAGATAGGAAATAGTCACCATCACACGACACAGGATATCTGTTTTGTGGGTTCAGAGTAGAAAGTCATAAGCCAAAAAAATCATATACTTCTCAATCTCATAATATAGATCACAAAGCATTGGGATTCAGTTAATTAGAATGTGTAGGGTCAATGATATGACTCTTTTCTTGAAAATCAGTCTGGAAACTTCTTTCAGGCATTGGCTCAAGGCATCTAACTGTCCAACTTTACCCCAACCAGAGACTCTTCTCATCTTCCTCTTTGCCTATCTGGCCCAGTTACCAACAATATCCTTCAGCATCTGGCTAACTTCAGTCACAGAATCAGTTTTCCCTTTGGCTTTAGGTTTCAAAATGGCTCAGCATGGTTCATTGTCAAACATGGAAATTTTTTTGCATTAATTTTTATTTTTAAAAATATTGCATTAAGCCTGGCCAGTGTTGCTCAGTGGTTGGAGCGTTGGTATGCACACCAAAGGGTTTTGGGTTCTATTCCAGGACAAGGACACTTATCTGGGTTGCTGGTTGGATTCGTAGCCCTAGTCAGGGCGTGTGCAGGAACCAAGCTATGTGTCTTTCTGATATGGGTTTTTCTTTCTCCCTCTCCCTCCTTCTTTCACTCTTAAAAAAAAAAAAAAAATCAATGGAAAAAATATCTTCTCTACAAAAAAATAAATAAATAAATAAAGATATTGCATTAAAATGTATCTTGATTACAGAGTTTTGGGGCATCCCCTTGCATTCTGCACCTTACTCTCTTCCACTCTTAAAAAAAAAATCAGCGGAACAAATATCCTCTCATGAGGAGTAACAAAATAATAAAATAAAGATAGTGTATTAAAATGTATCTTGAGTCCAGTTTTGGGGCCTCCCCTTGCACTCTGCATCTGACTCACTTCACCCGTATACTGCTTTTTTCTTTAGAAGTCTGTCTTGTGAAGCTTCTGCCAGCACAGACCCCTGTCAACTCATCCTCAGCAAAGGCGCGCTGGGCTGGAGCAAACGCACAAGTGGTTTGATCTGAGTCCTCCAACAGGCCTTCCCACACCGGCCAGCCGGGTGCCCACGACTGCCAGCGGGACCCTCAGCAGAGCCCACCTGTCAGATCCCACCGAAAAACCCCCCGCACCGCTCCGGCCAGACCAGCCCCGCATCAAACGCCCGAGGGCCAGGCAAGGACCCGCAGCAGCCACAGCCCCGCACCTGGAGCGGGGAGAGGAAGTCTCCGGGTGCACGTCACCGGGGCGCACGGGTCCTTGGAGCCAGCGGCGCCGGGCTGCGCAGGGGGGGCAGGCGCTGGCCGCGAGGTCTCTGAGGAAGGCGAGCCAGTCCGCTCCGAAGTGGCCGCTGTCAGGTGAGAGCAGGGGGACCCGCGGCGCGGGCCGCTCTTCCCCGCCCTCTGGAGTCCGAGCACACTTCCGCCCGGTGACAGGCTCCCGGCCGCCTCCCCGACTTCCCAGCATGCTCCGCGCCGTCTCCCTGACAACGGAGCCAACACTCAGCGGCCTCGGGTGGTCCAGGCGCTGGGAGTTTCCCGCGGCTCTGCCGGTCGTAGGTCCCAGTTCGAGGCGGCGCCCAGTGGATACCCAGGCGCTGCCGCTCCCTCGCCCGACGCGGAAAGGTATGCGGAAGGTGATGGTGTCAGGCTGCCCGGTCGGTTGGGGTCCGCATCTCTGGATCTCCAAGCGTTCCCCCTCCTCACGTCCCCCTCCTGCACACCTCCGGGCTCTGCTCCACCCTCCTGAGGATAAGTGTTCGCGCCCCCTCGATATAGGTTCACCCACGTGCGAAGACGTAAATATAAGAAATGTTGGGGCAGTTATTTTAGTTTTATACCCTAAAGTTAGGTGTGCCTTTACCGTTGGATTTCTACTTTGGCAGAATCTGGTGTCCAGTCTGCTTTCTCTCATTGATCCGTCCCAGGAAGAGAACAGCTTGGCTGCAACTCGTGATAAACACTTCTGTTGTCTTTTGACATCTTCACTTCCAAGAGTCAGTCTGCACAGAGTGGTCATCTTTCACCTTTCTCACAGTTCCCATCCGACTTAATACATTTTCTCTCCTCCTGAACACGCTATATCCCTCAGCTATTGTTCTGCTGAACACTTACTTGCCCTCACAAAGTTTATTGAACACCTACTGTATGCCAGGCACCCAGGATACAAAGGTAAAGAAGGTGTGTTCCAAGCTCTCATGTTCATCCACAACCATTTTTTTAAACCTCTCAACACTCTTAAAAAAACAACAACACACACACAAAACAACTTTATTATTGAGATTATTACAGATGTCCTTTCCCTCCCCTCTTGCCCCCTTCCTCCCAGTTCCCGCCTCCACCCAGGTCTTCACCACTCTATTGTCTGTGTCCATAGGGAATACATACATGCAAATAAGATCTTTATTTAATCTCTTCCCGCCTCTCCACCCCCTTCCTTCTGAGAACCCTCAGTCTGTTCCATTTCCATGCCTCTGATTCTATTTTATTCACCAGTTTATTCTGTTCATTAGATTTACCAAGTAGCTCTATGGTTACATGGAGGACACTAATGTAATCCATGGCCCCATGGTGGTCTGGGAAGGGAGCAGCAGGGCCGAGTCGGTGAGTTTGGGCCAGCCTCTGGGTCACTGAGCCCCAGTAAGCACTGGTTTTTACAGCCTGTAGCTCCTACTGCCCCCCAGGGGCTCCTTTTCCCAGCTCTGGAGCCCTGGGCTGGGAGCTGGTGTGGGGCTGGGACCCATTGCCCCTTCAGGCGGCCTCCATAGAGGCAATCTCCCTCCAGATTAGGAAAGCAGCATGCTTGGGTGCTGGCCCAGCCCGTTCTGCGCCTCTGCACCTCCTCCCAGTCTCAGCGTGCTTTCTCCTTTACTTCTCTAGCTGTAGGACTTCCATTCAGCCAGCTCTCCAGCAGTTCTGGGTGATGGTGGATCTGTATTTCAGTTGTCATTTTGATGTGGTTGTGGGAGGCAGCATTTACCTCCTCTGCCATCTTCTCACCCACAACCCTTTGAGGTGGGGGCCGGGGTACTTTGACAAGAGAACACAGATAGTTCTAGAATCTGGACCGTGTGGTACATTCCCAAGCAACCAAATAGCTCTATGGTTACATGGAGGACACTAATGTAATCCCTGGCCTCATGGTGGCCTGGGAAGGGAGCAGCAGGGCCGAGTCTGTGAGTTTGGGCCAGAGGGGACCTGGTCCCAGAGTCCGCTGTGGCCTGAGCCGACTGTTTAGACACGGCTTGGTTTAAACGTGTTGGGTCCGGGCCCACAGGAGCCAGGCCAGGAGATGCTGTGAGAGCTTAAGAAATTCTCTCACATTCTCCCATAGCGGGCCGAGACCTGTCTGTGTTAGCATTGAGGGGTGTTGATGTCCTCTTAGAAGGGCCTGGGTGAGGGTTGCATCAGCCCGCTGTGCCAGCTGCCTGAACAGCAGGACGCGCCCTTGGAGGATGGCAGGCTATCGGGTGGTGCACAACCCGGCCAGGTGGAGGGAAGTACCCGAGTGGGTTGGGTAGTGTCCCTTATCTCACTCCCGCAGGTGTCGGCCGTTTGCATCAAGCTACGGAATAAGCTTACAACACTCTATCTGGCCTGTTTCCCCGAAAATAAGTGTCTTATATTAATTTTTTCTCCCAAAGTTGCTCTAGGTCTTATTTTCAGGGGATGTCTTTTCTTTCCATTCGCTAGGTCTTATTTTCGGAGGATGTCTTATTTTCGGGGAAACACGGTAGTTCAGAAAGAATGTGCCAACAGGAGAGGGCAGGGGTAGGACACCCCAACGAAATGCTCCTTCACAACGAGGAGCCGCTGGGAAAACGGGCTTCTCAGGGCTGTCCTGTCCATTGCCGAACATGAGGCTTCTCTCTCATCTTTCTAGTGAGGAGAATTACCAAGTGGTCGGTCCTGAGGGTCCTTTTCAGCTGAAAAGCGATGCATCTGTACATTATTTTAACGGCTTAATGTGACCAGAAAGCCTTTTATGCTAGCAGAGGAAGCAAATAAAAGATACATTTGGAGGCCTGCTCTCCAGTTTTTTTGTTTTGTTTTGTTTTTCCCCCAGCAGTAGATATTACTAATACTTTCTGAGATCTTGGTAATCCCATTTAATTTTTTATTCATTCGGGGATTTTGAGGTATCAGCCTCAGCTCTGAAGTTCCAACTTGTGCTAATGTTGTCTTAGTATTGTCATGAGCACATAGCCACTAAGGTGACTTGGTTTCTAGCTATTTTTTTCTTCCCTCCCTCCCTCCTTTCTCGCTCCCCTTCTCTCTCCCTCCCTCCCTTCTTTCCTTTTTTCTTTCTTTTCCCTCTCTGTAGCACATTTATATTCAGCTAATATTAAAATACAATGTTAGGTTTGAACTGCTTTTTAAAACCAAGGATATTTCCCCCCATTAATTTTTAGAGTGGAAGATAGGGATGGAGGGAAGGAGAGAAAGAGAAACATCAATGTGAGAGAGACACATCGACTGGTTGCCACCCGCACCCTGTCCTGGGATCAATCCTGCAACCCATGTACATGCCCTTACCGGAAACTGAACCTGAGACCATTATGTGCCCAGGCAGACGCTCTGACGAGCACACTGGCCATGGCTGAACTGCTTTTGTGACACTTCTTGTTTCCAATCCAAGGAGATTACTCTGTATACTGTGTGTATAACTGAAACTTTAGAAACTGCATCAGAGTTTGCTTAGGATGGGGAAAAATTTCATTCTGAATCCTCATCACTTTTCACATCTATTTAAAGAAATGCAAATACGATGGCTTAAAGTCCACAGAAGTGAAAAAAGTCTAAAGAAACCAGCACCATGCTCATTTCTGGTTTCATCTTAACTCCACATTTGCTCATCAAAATAGACATATGGTCGGAGGAAAGACTGACAAAAAGGCTGATGCAAATGTGTAGATTTGAGGAAATGATAATGTTCTTATATTTGAGTGTTTTTAAAAAAGTTAAGTGGGGAGTATATATCTTAAAACAGATTGTTGATGGGAAAATGCGTATACACGTCAGATCTTCGGGGGAATTTGAGTGTAACTCAGTTTTGCCAAACGTGAATGTCTGAGAGAAGGCTCTCTTCTTGTGCAAGACTGTCTTCTGTTGGAATCTTCGGTGTTTCCACCTTTTGTACGGTTTTTCTTTCAAGTTGTTAATGTTAACCAACATGGTGCTGTTCAGTCCACGAATCCAGGTGCAGGTGTCACTGCCAAAAACTTACACTTTATGCTGGGAATAGTTTAAAGCCCTTTGGACCTGACCCCCAGACTTTCCATCTTCCAGGCACTGACTGGCACAGTTTGGGAGAATTCGACCATCTCCTCGGAGACTTGAACGCTAAGTTTCTGTAAACGAAGAAACCAGTTCTCTGACCTGTGGAGCAATGCTGAAATTCCAAGAGGCCGCCAAGTATGTGAGTGGATCAAGAGCCGTTCCCACTCACCCAAAGGCCTTGATTGCAAGAAGGTACGCGCTGCAACGGAAACTTGGCAGTGGAAGCTTTGGGACCGTCTACCTGGTTTTAGACAAGAAAGCCAAACGAGGGGAGGAATTGTAAGTAAAAATGCTTCCTGCACATCTTGACTTAGATGCCCGAATGTGCAACTTTTATTTATTTATTTATTTAAAATATATTTTATTAATTGTTTACAGAGAGGAAGAGAGAGGGATAGAGAGTTAGAAACATCGATGAGAGAGAATCATTGATCAGCTGCCTCTTGCACACCCCCTACTGGGGATGTGCCTGCAACCAAGGTACATGCCCTTGACTGGAATCGAACCCAGGACCTTTCAGTCCACAGGCCGATGCTCTATCCATTGAGCTAAACCAGTTTCAGCCGCATGTGCAACTTTTAGCTGATTAAAAATATATAGAGTTCTCTTCACTTGGCTCTTTACATTAAAGAATTTAGGAAGAGATAGCTCCTTAAATGGTGTCTTCAGATAAGATTTTTAAAAGGCATTTCAGCAGGTGAATAAAGAACCCAAATGACTTAGAGAAGAGAAATGTGATAAGATTATGTGAAAATAAGATTTTTATGCAATCCAGGCTCTCAATTACAAATTGCTTCAATTTAACTTGATGAGGACTTCTTGAATGATGGAATTGTTTATAAGGACTGAGTTTTACAAATTTTATGATATATAAATAAGTGGAAATTCTCATTTGAGGTGACTAGGGTGTGCTAAAGGAACTATGGCATTAATATTCTTTGCCTTTTTTTTCTATGGAGTTTTTCAAAGTCTGTAGTTAGACAGCCCTCAAATTGGATATTTAAACCAAACATGGGCTCTCATCTAAAATTAGCCTATTTTGCCAAAACCGGTTTGGCTCAGTGAATAGAGCATCAGCCTGCAGACAGAAAGGTCCCAGGTTCGATTCTGGTCAAGGGCATGTACCTTGGTTG